TTTGCCAACACACAAGAAACTGCAACGGAGAACAGGATGGCAAAAGTTGGCTGTTGGAGAAGGCAGGTCACCTTCACAGGACATCCAATGAATAAGAGAGATGCAAGGTAACAGAGCAGGATGACACTGAGGAGAATGAGAGTCAGGCTCTGGTTGTTGGCTTTCACAATGGGAGTCTTCCAGTTCTTTAGAAACATTTGCATGATGAAACAAGTAGTTACTACAAAGAAGAGAGTAAGAGAAAGCATAACCATCCCCAAGGGCTCTTGATAGGAAAGGAAAGATACAATCTTAGGGATGCACTGGTCGTGTTTCTCACTTGGATACTGATGCTGTGGACATGGGACACAATAAGCTGCATCTGAAAATGACAAACAGAGTCAGTAATTTTGATCATGTGCATTTGAGGGGAGGGGAGGGGAGAGAACCAGCACTGTGCATAATTAATGCTGGATCATTTCATTTCTCTAACACCACCACCTGCAGCAGAAACTTTTTGTGCAATTTAAATTGAAGTAATACATTAATGTCTTCAAAAACGTAATAGAATATTTTGCATTTGTTTAACAGATACAAAACTGCAGTGTAAATGGTCCAACTGCTACTCTGTCCTCTAAATAATAATTAATTGTAACCAAGAAATACAAATACAGATAATGCCATGTAACCAAGCACCCCTGTAAATATTTACAGATGTAATAAAAATACTGATGTAGCCATTAAGAATATTCAACATGGTCCCCAATTGTCTTAAAATAGAAATAAATCTTTGGGCATTTAAAATCGATAAGGATTTTGTTTCAGTTCTTTTTGAAAATAATTTACTAAGGTTCAAATCATCTTTTTATTTCAGGATGAAAATAACCTGAGAGTAAACCTGAAAGAGGTAGAAGAAGAGGAATGGTAGAGAAAAAGTGCTGCATCCATCCTTACGGCAATTTCCATGATAGGCTGAAGGACTGAGCTGCTTAAGTACAAAACTTTTCTTACAAACAAATATTGCCCCAATCATGGTGGTGAATGCGGTTCCCTGAGATTGTTCCATAGTATCCAGATAGAGGGTGGGAATTGATTGGATTGCCTGAGCTCAGCTCCATGTACCACTGTCCACTTTGCTATGGCCATGAGTCCAAGTTCCTGCAAAGCATCCACATGGCAATGACCAGGTATCCAGCCCTACGTGGGTGCTGCCACAATGCAGCATCTGATGTGGAACATTGCTGTTAGCACAGCTCGGACGCTGTGAGCATTTGTGGACTTCATCCTATCTCTTCTCTCCTACTAAGAGTGGGCTGTCCACTAGCATGAGAGGGACAGATGCCATGGAGTCTAATTGCAGCCCTAGCTTTGCCCTCTTTCCCACTTTCCTACATTCCCAATGAGAATCTTCTTAAATTAGAGAAATGTGAGCAGGGTAGAAATATGGCAGCATGTAACCTCTTCCATTAGGTAGTTCTTTCCTGAACATTAGACACAAGTGAAAGTGTTGGAAAATCTCTCTAGCGTATACTGTTGCATACCTATTTGGTCGGAATATGTGTCTTCTGGGCATGAAGTGCAGTCATAGCAACACACTGGTTTTTCATCTTGAATTATCTTCCTGTGTCCAAGGGGGCAGCGCTCAACACATCTGGAATGAGGTGGCACCTATTCACAAAAAGGGAAGGAGGATAGAAATGAAGGGTCTAGAGATAATCTAGAGATA